TTTTTTTTATTTTATAAGATAATAAATCTATTAATTTAATTAAAAAATAAAAATAAAATATCCTTTTATTCCTTAATTTATTTTTCTTCCTTAACTGTACACTCTAACCTTAATTTGAAATTTATAATTCACCTCCAAGTCTACCCCTTAGAGTTAGTAGCCAACTCTACTATTAAAACCTTATATTTCTAATTTGTTCCTACAACGATATTTTGATTTTCTTAGTTAAGTTTTAAAGAAATATCATTTTAGAAATCTTAAAACTATATAATAGAATTAGTCTTGATATTCTATTATTTCTGGATGTTTGATTGAGGGGTTTTAAATCTTGATTATGAATGCTTTTAATCAATTTTAATGATATTTATGTTAAATTTTATTCATTTTTAATAGAGTTTGAAAGATGAGACTAAATCATTTGGTGCCTTAAGCAAAAAAAAAAAAAAAACTTTTAATCTTTAGAAATTATTTGCACCATGTTTGAAACTTGAAGTCACATTTTATTATCCTTAGTGTCTCTGATAATGTAATTAAGAAGAATTTCTAAATCTTTTCAATTTTTATAATTGTAAAAGAGTATAAAAACCTATTTATAATTTGTGCCTTTTATTATGTTTCCATTTATTTGAATATTAATATATTTATAATTATATTTTTTACTTAATGTTAAAATTTTTTACATTATCTTATATATTTAATAGTATTAAAAATTGATCAAGTTGGTCTTATCACACCAAACTAATTTAAGTTGAATTGGTTTGATTATTATATAATAATAAATTGAATTTATTTGAAAATTTTACTAATTGATTAAATTGAATTGATTCAAAAATATTAAAATTTAAATCAAATCATACATACCATGAATACCCCTAATTTAAGCATATCAATAAGCTGAAGAAGTACCAACGCGAGGTTGGATCAAGTGGTAAGCGGCTTGTTCCAACTTAAGTAAGGTCTCGAGTTCGAGACCTTGTATACGCAGCAGCCCCTGCTGGGAGACTCATCCACCATTTTCAAGTGCGCGACGCTGGTCGGATTTGAATTAATCGGGGCGAAACCCCGGATACCTGACGGGAAACCAAAAAAAAAAAAAAGAAATGAAACTTAACGAGGATTCCCAATAGTATGATCTAGTAATAAGGTCCATTAATATGTGGGCTAATGGGCTATTAGTAATTCAGAGCCGCTCGTCCTTCAAACTTCAAAGCCCAATCTCCTAGTTTAATAATCGGCATTCAAGTTAGGCCCATTGGTTCCTCTTAACTTCTCAAAGAAATAAATAATGCTCTCTTCTCTCTCCTGTTAAAGTTATGACCGTTTATAATTTCGTTAAAGTTATTAATTTTATTTATAATAATTTACAATTTTTTAAATATTTAGATATTTAAAAATA